AGCATTGAGTGCTAAGAATATTATCCCCAGTGCTGTAGCAAAATACCCTGGTGCTTCCATCTTCCAAACCAGATCTTGGCCAGATCTTGGCCACCTATCTGCATTAGCTACTTGGTAAGTCTGATTTAACTGTGGGTTTAAGGGCCCAATCATACAGATCCTTACTCATGTGAGTAAATCTATTGAAATTACTAGGATTACTCACACGAGTAAAGGTTTGCAGGCAGGGGTAATAAACCCCTGATATTTGATGACTGGTGGCTCATGGTGAAGTGTGGAGATTCCTTGTAAACAACATGGATTTCTGTTTCAGGCTGCCTTTTGAAAAGCTACCTACCCAATGAATGTCAGAATGGAGGACATGTGAGGCTCATGACAAATCTGTGCATGGATTGAAAGGATCTTTGGGTGTCTCGAATGCCAGCTCGCTCTACGGAGAGGCTGCTGCATAAAGCGAGCTACAGGATGGAGATGTCCATACTCTCAGAAGACAGTGGCTAAGAAGGCAAAGTAAACGTAAGCAACAGCTGGAAGGAATGTTTGCCAGCAAAGAGAAAATTCATTTCCAATAAACATTTGTTGAGATTTGAAACTACTTTGTTGTCATCATGATACCCCATGATCTCCCACCCTCATCGGCTTTTAAAGCAAATTGTCTGCTGTAGTAGTGGCCTTTCTTCACATCTTCCTCGGCCAGCAAGACACTGTTGCATGGGATGCGTGGGTTGCCTTGCTCCATTCTATTAGGGTAGGCCCCTTGCCCATACACTGAAACTCACAGGGTTCCTTACTGAGCTGACAGGGCCATGTACGTCCTGGGAGCTGACGTCACCCCAAAAGGCCGGGCTTTGCCCTGGGCTTTTCCATCTCAGCAGCAGGTGTTGCGGGAAGGGCAGGGAGAGGCGGCTGCAGATCAGGACAGGGCTGTGCATGTGCTGTTTCGAAGCTGCTTTCAGTGCTGCCGTCTGCTGCGCGGCGAGATGCTGCTCACGCGGCACCTGAATCCCCAGTCCTGCTAGCCTCCTGTCTGTGGAAGCCTCCTCTCACTGGGACAAGCCTAGGTACCCCGGGACCCTCTTGGGGCAGACTGTGGCTCAGCCACCCTTCAGAGAGGAGAAAGGTCACCACCACCTCCTCTACCTTTGTCATTGCACGCTGCTTCCCCTTTTGCTCTCTGTGCGCCTCTCTCATTCCCCTCCGCGTTCTTCACTCTCCGTCGTTTTGGCAGGGTGTGGTCGTGCAGCCCCTCCCACACCCTTAAACCTCTCCCGCTTCCCGTCCACTAAGCGCCTTCTCCTTCCAAGCCCTCCTGAAAACCTGCCTCTGACAGGAATCCCTCCACCGTCCCCACGCCCTCCCCGAGTGCCTGTCTCGTGCCTTGTCTCCTCTCTTGTGCAGCTCGTCAGGGCTTCCCTGTGCTTAGACGTCTGTCGCTATGTAACTGGTGAGAATAAACAATGATACCTCACCCCTCCAGGGCCCCACTTCCCTCTCTGTCGGTTGTGCAGCTTCGGCACCCCCGTCTGCCAGAGCGCGGTCTGTCTGGCCTGGTTACCTGGCCTATCGTAGCAGCCTTTTGGGATTGCTGAGCTTGTGGTTCTGCTCCCTCCCACACCCCTGGCTGATGGCAGCGGGGAACCCCACTCGGCCCTGTGCCTTCTGCACAAGCGCACTCCCACCTCAGCGCTGTCACGTGACTTTCTGCCTTTGCGGCCCTGGTGCTGCTGGCAGAACGTGGTGGGGGGCTCCGCGTGGAGGAATTCGTTGGGGCTCCTGGATTTTCATGGGACGGGGCAGCCATGTGAGCTGTGGAGGCTGGGAAAGAGCTCGCATAGCCCAGAGAAAGCCGCAGAAGCCACAACAGCAGCAGATGCCCACGCATCAGCCTTTCCTAGCAGAACAGAGAAAGCAGCGGGAGCCACATCAAAAGCTGCATCCGTGGACATCAAAGCAGCCGTCTTTTCCAGAGGAAGCTGCAGCGGCTGGATCAGCAGCAGGAGACGTTTCAAGGGTGGATTTCAACAGGGCTGCTTGTAGCCTGAGTCTGGATGACAGCCTGATGGTTCTGCTTTGCACTGCTCATCTTTGGCCTGCCCTTGTGAGGGGCAGAGCAGGGACTGCATTGAGACCGACAGAGTCACAGCTCGATCCTTGTTTCTCAGTTCCTACAGCATCCCACCACAAAATATTCTATAAGGAGGGTAGGGGTAGCAATGTGTATATGCACTCACTGAACTGCTACCCATCACCACACTCTGCTCCTAATGACCTCCAGCGGGAGACCTGCCATTGTGTACAATGGGATCACTGGGTGCAGTTAGCCACAGAGAAAGAGCAGCATGTTAGTAAAAGACTGGATGAGGAACAATGGGAGCCAGCCAGTCACCACTGAAAAGGCTTCCTTCAGGAAATGTACTAGTGGTGTGACATCATAACACAGTGCCAGCTACAGGCACGCGAGCAAGCCAGAGACAATGTATGGCATGAGGCGCATGAGGGAGCTGGAAGGCTCGAAGGGGAGAGAAGGCAGAGATGTGTGGCGAGAGCCAGGCCACTATGAAGGACAGAGCTGTTCCCCTTAGTTCTGATCATAGCGCTCCTACAGGGCCAGTTTCTTGATGCCCTTCCTCTCACTGAGTACTAAATGACTCTGCATTGAAATCAATGGGATTGCTAGCAGGATAATGGACTATCCACTGTGAGTCAGGGTATCAGGATCTAACACCTCCCAACCCTCATGCTTTACCTGTCTGGTGCTGCGCTCAGTCCACCAGTGCAACGCAAAGGCGTGAGGCCCTGTATTTACAAAGCACTTGAAATATTACCTAGTTAATGCTCACACTTCTCAGAAGACGCAAGGGAAGCATAGTATTACTCTCCGCATTCTACATATGAGCCACAGAGAGGCTAAGGCCTAGATCCTCAAACCTATTTGAGTGCCTAGCTCCCACTGAAATTAACAGGAGGTAGGCGTCTAAATACCTTGGGGATCTAGGCCTAAGTGATGCGCTTGAGGCTTCACAGCCAGACATTTGGAGACCTGGGATTGCAATTTAACTTAATTAGAATTTAGCTCAACCAGAAGTTATGGGCTTGGGGCAGAGTTTACTGGGTGAAGTTCTTTGGTCTGTGACAGGCAGAAGCTCAGACGCGATGGCCATAATGGTCCCTTCTGGCTGAATCTAGGAACTTAACGAGTGCCCATCTTCATGCTCAGTCCACTAGACCACACTGCCTCTATCCATCAGTGTCTTAGAAAAGAGAACACACATGCGGGGAAGTGACTAACACGGCAGATGCCACAAAATTGGATCCTTCATTGAGAAGGAGGAAGGTGACCAAGGGCTAGATTCACAAAGGGACATGGGCACCTAACTGCCTCTTAAGGCACCTGAGGCCAACATTTAGGTGTCACTGACATTTACAAACCACCGCTCAGCTGACGCTGTAGGCCCTAGGTGCCTAAAGTTCTGCCAGTGGGCAAGCACAAAGCCGCCTAGGTCCTGCTGTCACCAAGCTACTGGGAGCCCTTGTTCGTACCTGAGCCCTGGAAAAATGATCAAACTAGGCATTCCCCCACTTATCTTGTCTGTGGGCCATGACCTGGTCGGGGTGCTCAGAACATACCTCACCTGCACACACAGCCAGGAGCAGGCACGTAGGGGGCTGGCTGGAGTATGTGTCTGTCCGGGTGAGGGCACTCATCTGGGGTGTGGGATATCCAGGTTTGAATCCCTGATTTAGTTCAGGGACTTAAACCCAAGTCTTCTGCCTCCCCAGTGAGTGACTAACCACAGGGCGGTGGCTACAATGGGCTGGCTTGCATGCGTGCTGCCTCCCACCTCCTCTTTGACATTTCCTACTGCCTAGCATTGGTGGCTCCCTACTCAGCATCCTGCCTTCTGTGAGTCCCTTTCTTCAGTGCCTCATTGTGCCCAGGGGGAGCCTGGGTGCATAACGTGGGGCTGAGGGTTCCACTGGACAGCAGGATGCCTAGGCATTATGTGGCTAAGTCATTGTTATGAATCTAGCCCCGGGTTCATGATGACATGAGCAGAGCAGGCATCTAGGCAAATGAATGACATGCAATTCAGGGGCAGATCTTCAGCTGGTGTAAGTGGAGTGGAGCTATGCCCACTGACATCAGCTGAGGATCAGGCCCTTAGGATAAACCAATGTACAGAAATGAAGAAGCTAGGAACAAAAACTCCAGTGCCCAAATGGAACAAGAACATGCATGGTCCCTGGTTCTTCTTCTGGCAAGTGCTGGGTACCAGCACTTCTCCTTATTACGAATTCTTAGCAGCTCAGTCCTTGTTTACCAAAGATGAACCTTAGTTACAAATCATAGTAGTTTGCATCTAGCTCTTTTTCATCCAAAGCTCTCAAAGTACTTCACAAAGGTGGCGAAATCTCATATCCCTAATACACTGAGGCACCAAATGGTTAAGTGACTTTCCCTAAGTGAGTCAGCATCAGAGCTAGGATGAGAAGCTAGGTCCTTTGCCTCCTAGGTTCATGCCCAATGCATAGCGCTGGATCTGGCCCACTGTTTTTAATGGAGCTATGCCCATTCTAAACACATTTACACCAGTGCAAACCAGGATGAGGCGTGCCACTGAGCTCACTGGTGTGACACCAGCGTAGTGGTGATGTAAGGGAGAAGAATCAGGAGGAGGTGGGCTCCCATCTCTGGGTTCCATAACTTGGAAGGAGGGGAGCCCAATGCCTATGGACAATGGAGTCAGTGGGCCCTTTAGGCCCACAGCACCTCTCCATCAAGCCCAGTCAGTTTAGGGCGCTGCACTGAGTGCCTTGGGGCATGTCTACACTGCAGCTGGGAGCCAGCCTCCCTGCCTGGGGCCACAGCCTCCTGTTAGCGCACGAGGGGTTCTGTGCATGACATACAGTATCTCAGTCTGTTGTTTAAAGCTGTTAAATGCTGGCCGGTTGTTAAGACACCTGATAATTCACTACTAAACCCCTGCATTTCTTGCCAGATCTCTTTCCCAAGCTGCCTGCAACCAGAGTTATGAGCTGCTGCCTAGCATCCATCCCGTCCTTAGGGCACCGATCTGTCACCTTGTCATAGCACATCATTAATTTCTGCTGCAAACTTGGCGAGACCCCAGTTTTGTTGGATGATACGTTGTCACAGACGGTCCGTGAGAGTGCAAAGAACTTCAGATAAGTGCCTCGCCTGGCTGAGACAACAGGAATTTTTAACACACAGTCTATAAATTGAGACAGTTTTATTTCAGGAGCTGGCTTTTCTTTCAAATCACCCCTTGTTCTGAGGGTAGATAGTTCACCTTCCTGACTCACTTTGCCCAGGTCCACTGAACATGATCCAGTTGGTTGTTTTGCGTGTGCTGGACAACGTAGGGGTTGTGGGGGATGTTTTGTTTCTTGTGTCCTTCCCTGAGTAGGGATTTCGCAAGGAATTAATGCAGCCTCCCCCTCCCCCATTTTATTGCCTGTTGTGAATCAGCTTTATTTGAAATGACTATCACACCATTATTCTTATTTCAGTTTCTCATGAAGGATGCCAAAGAAGGGGGAGGTGGGGGCCTGGTGGACCTTTTCTCATCTAGGAGGCTGGTGCATAGCCTGCTGGGACATGCCCATCTCATGGCCATTCAGTGGCTTACATGAAAGAAGCTGGTGGTCTCAGCTCAGCTCCTAGGGGAGAACTGTTCACAGCACGAGTGCTGCATGGAGACTGAAAGGCCCTCTCAGCCCTAGTGTGGTTTGCTAGGGTGTCTGCTGACACATTCCCAGAATACTGAGCATTCTGGTACTGCTGGGAATGGCGGAGGCCTGCCCCGGCTGACCTGCCTTCACATCCACGGTGTGTACGAGGTCACGCCACACAGAGAGTACACCATTTTGAAGACTGTGCTCCTCCACTCCCGGCCAACATGGCCTCTTCAAAATGGCATCCCCATCCGATACTGGACAAAACCAGGTCCGGTTTTGTCTCAGTACCAGACAAGGGACAAACCACCCAAAAAGAGGACTGTCCAGATTAAATACAGATGAATAGCCTGCCCATGTGTTGCTGGATGAGGCATATTTGCACAGGGTGATGCAGGGGAACTTGCATTGCTGTTCCTGTTCTATGCCAAGAGGACTTTGGCCTCCAAGGTTATGTCTACACTGCATCTTGGAGAAAGCCTTAGAGCCTGGGTTCACAAACTCATGTGAGCACCTTCAAAATCGCTGTGTAGACATTGCTTTGATGGTGCACCTTGGGCTGGAGCTCAGGCTCTGAACCCCACCCTTGGCTTCAGAGCCCCAGCATAAGCCACTGTGTCTACACAGCTATTTTTAGCACATTAACAGGAGTCTGTGGACCCAGGCTGGGAGGCTGACTCCTAGATGCAGTGTAAATATGCCCCAAGGCACTCAGTGCAGCGCCCTAACCTGACTGGTCCAGGTGGGGCGCTGCCGTAGGCCTGACACTCCCACTGACTCCACTGTCCTTAAGTGTTGGGCTCACCTCCTTCTTGGGGTCCCCCCCTTCCAAGTTATGGCCAGCTCTCAGCTCTCTCACCGCGCACCCCTGGCCTCTGCAGAAAGCCAGTTGTGTTACCAGCTTACTCCCTGCTCCATGACTGCTCCGTGGGGTGGGGAAGTGCCCACAGGCCCCCTGCCAATATGTTCCGGCAGAAAAATCCACCCTGCTGCAAGTGTGGAGGTCAGGTAAACCCTGGACACATGAGCGAGATTGTCCCTAGCTGAGCAGCTCCCAGTCCAGGCTCTAGCCTGAACTGGCATATAGCCTCTTGCAGGGAAAGTTGTGCTCACAGGCTGCAAACCAGGATTGCACTGGATTCAATCAGATGGGCAGACACTACTGTACCTACACGCACATGGGCAGGGCGCTGGCCACAAAATCAACCCTGCCTTTTAATCCCCAACTATCATCGGTCTGTACATATGGCCAGAGCCTGCGTATGAGTCTCATTGAAAAGGGCAACGCAGTTCCCAGATATTTCAAATGGCCGCCAGCAGCCATTTAAAATCTGGCTTGGATTCCGCCCGCATCTCCGTTCTGCCTCTGTGACCTCAGAGAGCCCTTCCCACCCACTGCATCTCTCCCTTCCCATACTCCTCCCCAGCCCCAGAAATCCCCCTTCCATTTCCTTCCTGACCAACATGGATCCCATCCATTGCCCTTCCTGACCCCATAGATCCTCTCCTTCCAGCTCTCACCTGTTGCACGCCAAACCCGCAGACCTCCTTCTTTCCCCTCCAGGGGCCAATCTGCCTCCTGCCCTGATCTCCCTCAGCTTGTTCCCCCACCATCCTCCCTGATTCCAGGATCCTCTCCCCTCCTGCTTCCACTTGCTACCTGTGGTGACCCCAGGCATGTAGCACCTCCTACTATGGTCCCCATGGACTGTCCTCCTTAGCACAAGGGCCCAGCGCCTCAGCTGGTTACATCAGCATCGACTCCTATGGAACCCGCTGGCCCTGTGGAGCGCCTAATCAATACCGATGCCCAACATCTGAGTCCCGTCCCCCCCCCCCCCCCAAAAAAAACAAAAACCAGGATCTGTCATCATGGGCGGTGGGTATAATAGGCCAGGGGAGGCTAAGCTTCCTCTGACCCACTGCCAGATGCTTGGCCCATAGTGGCCCTGCCTGCGCTCTGCCTCTTCCCCTCCCTGTTCCACCCTTCCCCGAGGCCCCCACCGCCCACCACTGCTTTGTGAGTCTGTCTCTCCTCTCCTTCACTCCACCCACCCCCTCTCCAGAGGTTGCTTTTTTCCCCACCCCCTCCTCCACCCCCCCCCCCTGGGGGACTGGTGGTGCTCACACGCGCGGGGGGACATCCCTCCTAACCAATTTATTTGAGCATGAGCTTTCGTGAGCCACAGCTCCACTTCATCAGATGTGGAAAACTCATGCTCAAATAATTGACTGGGGGGTGTAGGACTCTTTTTCTCACGGCTGTTCCTCTGTAACCTGTCAGCGAGCGGGGAGTGTCTTGTGGGATAGAGGGTGAGGAGGGAAGAAGACAAGAGGTGGATGGTGGGGGTCTTGTGGGGCTGGAAGAGTGAGGAGGGACGTGGTGGGCAGGGAGGTCTTGCAGGGGTAGGGGGGTGAGGAGGGAGCATGATGACTGGTGGATGACGGGGGTGAGGAGGGAAGTGGCGGGTGGGGGGGGTCATGCAGGGGTGGGGAGGTGAGAAGGTATGCAGCGAGTGGTGGGCGGGGGGGGCCTTGAGAGGAGTGGGGAGGTGAGGAGGGAAGCGGTGAGCAGCAGTGGGGGGGCTGAGTGGGGATGGGGAAGGGCCTGGGGCAGAGTGGGGGACAGAGAGCGAGCCCCCAGGGGAAGCTTCACCCACCACCCATGTCTGTCAGTTCCCTTGGATTGCTGAATTTACATATGAAAGGTGTTGGCAGAGTGGAATCCTGGTAGGGTGAGCAGAAGTCCCGATATTATTGGGACCGTTCCAATATTAGGGCCTTTGTCTTACATATGCAACTATACCCCCATTTCCCCACCCCCAAAAGAAAGTGTCCCGATTTTTCACATTTGCTATCTGCTTACCCTAAACCCTGGCCTGTATTATTCAGGCAGCTGCTGTTTGGTAAAGCCAATCATTTTAATGACCCGCAGGATCCGAGCACTTCAGGAGTCCCTAAGACTCTCAGGGCAGACAAGTCACCCCTTAATTTATAGCACACAGCTCCCTTATGTCACAGGGCAGTCACGGCTCGCTTTGAGGGAAAGACACTGCTTCTTTGTTGTAGAATTTTACAGTGAGACACCCTTTGACTGCCTATGCAGGTTATAATCAATTGGCAAACATTTTTCATCCCCGATTTGTGGCTTCCCATTGGGACTGATCCTGTTTGTGCCCAAACCCAGAGCAAGTCTGCTGAAGTCAATGAAGTGGCACAGGTGTAGTAAAACCAGTGCATGGGCCTGACCCAAAGCCCAGTGAAGTATATGGAAAGACACCCATTGACTTCAATGGGCTTTAGATCAGTCCCTAAATGAGAGCAGAATCAGGCCCATCATCGATATGGTGATCGTAGGAACTATTTATTGGGTTTATAATAAATGAATGCACTCCATGCAGTGATTCACTGCGAGGCCAATACCAACTGGCGAGGGCGGGCGGGGGGGCATGTTCTGTGGTCTTTGATCACCGGTTCAGTCTAGCAGCTGTGGAATGACTCTCTTTTTCTGCTTGCAGGACCCTCGATAAAGCCACCGGTGCTACAGACCAGGAACCAAGTACCTTAGCCCAGGACCCACCTACATGAAGTGAAGCACTTCATTCTGAGCGGCGGCTGGGACAAACACAGCGCCTGCATGAAACATGTATCGTCCTATGGCGTACAATAAAAATGGTGAACTGCTTGGACTGGGATCTTCTGTTGCCCGTCAGGCACTGAAACGTTACTTCTATCTGCGTCATTTATTTTACTTGATCATGATAGAATCGATATGTGGTTGAGCAGGGGAAGCCAATGGGTCTGAGGCTCCCCTCCCTTACACTGGTGAAATGCCACTGATTTCAGCTGAGGTACTGTGGCTGATATTGGCTGATGGGAGCCAGACTCATGCAGGTATCACATTGGATTTTAGGGCTTATCCTAGGAGCCTAATGGCCAGTGTCAGCAGTTCTTTTTGTAATCCTCAAAGGATCAATGCCATATAATTTCTTAACTGATGTTTAAAACCCCGCATTTGATTAAGAAGGCTGTATACAATATTCAACAGGAAGATAGAATCCCTTGGACTTTATTTTGCAGTCAAGAGCATCTTATGCTTTTCAAGGCCAACACAAGTCCTAAACACTAGAGCAGGGTGAACTTTTTTGGTGGAAAAGTAAAAACCCAAAATTTTCACTTGAGAAATGCTGCCACGGTGCCTCAGGGGAGCGGTAGTGCAGGTGTTTCGTGCCCCCATTCTCCTCGATTGGCCAGGCACCCTGGTGGGACTACATCTTCCATAATGCACCACGGTGTCCCCTCTTGCTGAGATACTGCAGTACATCATGGGAGTCAAATAGCTTTGGGGGATCATGGGAGATGCATCCAGTTGGAAACCCCAACCCATAGCGATGAATGAGGGCATGAGGCATATGAACTACTGCTCTTCTGATACATTGCAGTGGACTTTTCTATTTAAAAAATAGGGTTTTGGCTGAAGTTTTCTGCTTTTAGGGGTCTTTTTTTTTTTTTTCTGAAACATCACAACTTTTTGCAAAGATCAGATACTTTTCCTGTTTCAGAGGAACAGCCGTGTTAGTCTGTATTCGCAAAAAGAAAAGGAGGGCTTGTGGCACCTTAGAGACTAACCAATTTATTTGAGCATGAGCTTTCGTGAGCTACAGCTCACTTCATCAGCTCACGAAAGCTCATGCTCAAATAAATTGGTTAGTCTCTAAGGTGCCACAAGTCCTCCTTTTCTTTTTGCGTATACTTTTCCTGAAAACCTTTGTTCAGTCAAAAACCTAATTTTCGTTGTTTTAACACAAAAATTTTGAGTGCTCTACTGTACTCCATTTAAGCCTTCAGGTCAGACTTAAGTGGTGTATATGCCTTAGGCTGACCCTGTGCATGGGGTGAATTTCACCTTTAGTGAGTCATCACTATAAGCACAAAGGACCAGATCCTCAGAAGCATTTAGGCATTTAATGAGCTTTGAGGATCTGGGCCAGGGTGGCCTGCTTTTCTTTTCTGATTCAATTAGCTGAGGAAGCTATTTTTTAGCAAGGTAGGCAGAGAGCTGGGCAGTCATTCCTGGAGCCCAAAAACAATGTACCCCCTACCTTGGGCTGGGAACAAAACCAGAAGGAACCTGATTCAAAAGTGGCCCAAGATGAAGCATTGAAGAACGTCCCAAATATTTCGATGTGGATTTGGAAGGTTGTGGGCCTGATGCTCTGCCCTCTCACACCAATGTAAATCTGGAGTGACTCCAATGTAGTTAATAGTTTCACACCAGTATAAAACCAGTGTATGTGATAAGGGATTCAGACCTTTTGACCTTTAAAGAGGAAACCCTTAGTTATTGCTATTGTTTATTATTTGTGTTGCAGTAATATCTAGGAGCCCTATTCATGCACCAAGACCCCATGGTGCTCTGCGCTATACAGACACAGAACAGAAAGATGGTCTTTGCTCTACAGAGCTTGCTAAATATAAACCTTAAGCTTTTGGTATCTGCGTTATGGTGACTCTCGTCACTGGAAATGGAATGGATGTTAGTAAATTCCAACACAAGGGGATAAAACACAACACAGTATTTGTAGTGACAGGGTTTGTCAGGTAACAGCCAAGAAGAAATTAGACTAAATCCAGTCATCAAACCATTACAAAGTATCTCAGAGAAGCTGCTTATGGTAATTAAGGACATAGTCAGTACAAAAGGAGGTGGATTAGAAGCCTGTGAACAGCTGGAATGAGCATGTGCATAGCTTGCTAGCTGAAGGGTGCTCATTACACATGATTAAGAAATTATCTTTTTGTGTGTAATTACCATAATCATGCAATTACTAGAGATGGGCACACAGCAAAGCTCCAGTTGCAGACACCCTTGGAGCTTCAAGGAAGTCTCACTCGAGATCAAAGGTGGGCAAACTACGGCCTGCGGGCCACAACCGACCTGCAGGACCATCCTGCCCAGCCCCTAGCTCCCGGCGGGGGAGGCTAGTCCAGCCCCTCCCCTGCTGTTCCCTCTCCCCTGCAGCCATGCCGCCACACGGGCAGCATACTGGGCGGTGAGGCTGCGCGCTCATGCAGGGCAGCGCGGGGGCCAGACATGCTGCTCTGAGCAGCATGGTAACGGGGCTGGGGCCGGGGGGTGGATAAGGGGCAAGGGGTTCTTGGGGGCAGTCGGGGACAGGGAGCAGGGGGCAGTTGGATGGGGTGGAGGTTCTGGGGGGATGCAGGGACCAGGGAGGGTTAGATAGGGGGTATAGTCCTCCGGGGTAGTTAGGGGCGGGGGTCCCGGGAGGGGGCGGTCAGAGGACTAGGAGCAGGGGGCCGGAGGGTCTGAGGAGGGCAATCAGGGGGTGGAAAGTGGGACGGGGCAGGTAGGGGGCCAGGCTGTTTGGGGAGGTACAGCCTTCCCTATCTGGCCCTCCATACAGTTTCGCACCCCGATGTGGCCCTTGGGCCAAAAAGTTTGCCCACCCTGCTCTAGATCATTGCAGCTGTCTCTGGGCTAAGCCAAAACCCTGGATCTGAACCACACCGAGTTCTGGCACCATTCAGGTCTCACTCCCCATTTGTCACCTCAGGCCAGTCACGAGTCATTAAATACAAAGAAGGTGAAATGGGATCATGCAAGGAAAAGGAGCTGAGGATGCTTTTTGCTGTATTTAAAAACCACAACCCATGTATGGTGCCTGTGTCACTGAGGGCCAAGGCTGATTAGATGAGATACAGCCAGCTGATCATAGACTATCAGGGTTGGAAGGGACCTCAGGAGGTCATCTAGTCCAACCCCCTGCTCAAAGCAGGACCAATCCCCAATTTTTGCCCTGGATCCCTAAATGGCCCCCTCAAGGATTGAACTCACAACACTAGGGTTAGCAGGCCAATGCTCAAACCACTGAGCTATTCCTTCCCCCCCCCAGCAAATGAGCCAGAATCATCCTCTCAGCAGCAATAACAATTCAATGGGACTTTATTTTGCACAGTGTCGTTCACACACAAAATACTTTCTGCGTGTTACAACACACCAGCAGTATTTATTTACACAAAACAGCAGTGTTGAAGGTATTTGAAGGCTGGGAAAAAATACAAAAAAACCCCATACACAGCCAAGCCCAGAACAGGAAGAGACAAATGGGAGATTAAAAAATGAAAAAGCTGGAGGAAAGAGAGAAAAGAAATCTTTCCAGATAAGAGCTGAAATTAGATGAAGAGCTACAGAGGCACATGGGCTGCAGAGGTCAAGATTCTTGGGCTCATGCTGGCTGGGTAATGGGAATGGACCAGAGAGGAGAGCTGGCATAGATCAGTAAAGAGGAGCAATAGGCTGGCGCAAAGCTATGGCCAGACTGAAAACAAGGAAGGCCATTTCTGAACTTGGATTACCTCTGGTCTTATGGCAGGCCCAGGGCTACCGCAGTTCTAAGGCTTTTCAGTGAGTGGCACATACAGGGCATTGCCGAGAAGTGTAAATTCACTGCACCCCCAAAGGCACTAACTTCATTAAGAGGGATTAGTGTTGTAAAAAGCCTAATCTTCTGGGTTATTTCCATGTAATGTGTTAATGACTGAAAGAGCTTGGGGACTGGGGAGACAGTACAGACAAAGCCTTCAACCATCTACAAATCTTCCTCTTAGTCAGAGTCAAGGGGGATACACTTATGAATCCAAGGAGAAAGGCATCCCTGATGCAACTCCACTGAAATCAGTTGAATTTGCCCCGTTGTATTAATTTTGATGGAATAAATGGGCCCAAAGAGTCAAAGGTGTTAACACAACCCAGAAACTGCCATTAAGCAGTTTTTAACGGGGTTTGGGGTTTGGTATACAGAGACCTCAGCCTGCGTAGTACCATGGCAAACACATCATTTAAAACCATTTAAACCTTTTATTAAAGATACAGAAAAGAAAGGAAAAAAGCTAAAACCTATGAAATATAAAGTATTAAGTAAGGCCTTCATTTTAACAACATCCCTTGTTCCCCTGCAGAGAGAGTTTCAAACAAACAAACAAACAACCTCCCCACCCCTTGTTTTTACCTGTTTTAATACCTGAGGTGGCATTAAAGATGGTAATAACTGGCCTTTTCACGGGAAAGAGAAGTTAGTTGAGATGGGCTGTTGTTGCAGTCTAATCCCATTTCCTAGAAGACAAAACATGCCAAACACACACAAAAGGGTAAAGAAAAGAACAACAAATATAGAAAATGCAACTTCTGTCTCTGCTGTTAAGTTTTACTTGCAAACTGACTACTGGAAAAACACAGGCACAGCACACAGTTTTTATCAGTCACCCTGAGATCTGGCAAACTTGTACCAGCAGCAGGCTGTTTAGGGCATTGCGCAGAGGTTTATACCAATGTTACATGATATACAGTCTTCAGATTCTTAAACAGAGGCAAGAGGAGAATAGGAAAGAGAAGAAAAAAGGTGGGGAAGGAAAAGGAGAGCTAGCATACGTGTGTGTGTGTGTGTGTGTGATGACATTCATCTGGGTCCTGCTCTTGGCCCAATCAGGTCAGGACATACCTCAAAATCAGGCTAATGAAGGCCCAAGGATGTCATGGTGGATCCCAGGGTCCCAGAAGATGGTGAGAATGGCAGCAAGCTCATGCCTTCCCCTTCTTTCAGTCAGTAATTGTTGCATTAGCTTCCCTCAAGATCTTTTTTTTTTTAAGGACCTAAAAAGGCAGTGACAGCTGGAATAGCCCATCTCCTTGCGTTTTGCCTACCAATTAAGCCTAATTTATGAGACAGCAATTTTGCTTCATTGATTACTAATCCCACACTTCTCTTGTTTACCAGTCATGACCTTAACACAGACCTTGAGTTATATCAGTAGGACTTTTTGATTGGATTAATTCAGTATGCCTGTCTCCCTTTTGCACCTTTTCCCATTACCATTTATTGGTATAGTTTATTGTGACACTTTATAAACTCTCATCCACTTTCCCACAGTTAGGCTTTACATAAGAACAGCCATACTGGGACAGACAAATGGTCCATCTAGCCCAGTATCCTGTCATCCGACAGTGGCCAATGCCAGATGTTTCAAAGGGAACGAACAGAACAGGGCAATCTTCAAGTGATCAAGCCCCTGTGGTCCAGTACCAGCATCTGGGAGTCAGAGACTTACAGACACCCAGAGCATACAGTTGACCATTCATAGCTAATAGCCATTCATGGACCTATTCGCCATGAACGTACCTAATTCTTTTTTGACCCCAGTTATAATTTTGGCCTTCACGCTATCCCCTGGCAATGAGTGCCACAAGCTGACTGTGCGTTCTGTGAAGAAGTACTTCCTTATGTTTGTTTTAACCTGATGCCTGTTAATTTCATTGAGTGACCCCTGGTTCTTGTGTTATGTGTCGGGGATCGGTCCTGCTTTGAGCAGGGGGTTGGACTAGATGACCTCCTGAGGTCCCTTCCAACCCTAATATTCTATGATTCTAATACTTCCTTATTCACTTTCTCCACACCAGTCATGATTTTATAGACTTCTATCATATCCCTTCTTGGTTGTCTCTTTTATAAGCTGAACAGTCCCAGTGTTTTTAATCTCTCCTCACACGGAAACACCATATCCACTGGATCACCCTTAATCATTTTTGTTGCCTTTCTCTGAATCATAGAATCATAAAATATCAGGGTTGGAAGGGACCCCAGAAGGTCATCTAGTCCAACCCCCTGCTCAAAGCAGGACCAATTCCCAGTTAAATCATCCCAGCCAGGGCTTTGTCAAGCCTGACCTTAAAAACCTCTAAGGAAGGAGATTCTACCACCTCCCTAGGTAACGCATTCCAGTGTTTCACCACCCTCTTAGTGAAAAAGTTTTTCCTAATATCCAATCTAAACCTCCCCCACTGCAACTTGAGACCATTACTCCTCGTTCTGTCATCTGCTACCATTGAGAACAGTCTAGAGCCATCCTCTTTGGAACCCCCTTTCAGGTAGTTGAAAGCAGCTATCAAATCCCCCCTCATTCTTCTCTTCTGCAGGCTAAACAATCCCAGCTCCCTCAGCCTCTCCTCATAACTCATGTGTTCCAGTCCCCTAATCATTTTTGTTGCCCTTCGCTGGACTCTCTCCAATTTATCCACATCCTTCTTGAAGTGTGGGGCCCAAAACTGGACACAGTACTCCAGATGAGGCCTCACCAATGTCGAATAGAGGGGAACGATCACGTCCCTCGATCTGCTCGCTATGCCCCTACTTATACATCCCAAAATGCCATTGGCCTTCTTGGCAACAAGGGCACACTGCTGACTCATATCCAGCTTCTCGTCCACTGTCACCCCTAGGTCCTTTTCCGCAGAACTGCTGCCTAGCCATTCGGTCCCTAGTCTGTAGCTGTGCATTGGGTTCTTCCGTCCTAAGTGCAGGACCCTGCACTTATCCTTATTGAGGTACTCCTTATTGTACTCCTTCGCAGTCTTCTTCAGACTTAACAACCTTCAGTAATTTTGTATCATCTGCAAACTTTGCCACCTCTGTACCTTTTCCAATTCTAATATATGTTTTTTGAGATGGGGCAACCAGAACTGCACTCAGTATTTAAGGTGTGGGTTGTACCATGGATGTATATAGTGGCATTATGTTGTTTACTGTCATTATTTATCCCTTTCCTAATGGTTCCTAACATTCTGTTAACTGCTCTGACTGTCGTATACACTGAATGGATGGTTTCAGAGTAACAGCCGTGTTAGTCTGTATTCGCAAAAAGAAAAGGAGTACTTGTGGCACCTTAGAGACTAACCAATTTATTTGAGCATGAGCTTTCGTGAGCTACAGCTCACTTCATCGGATGCATGTCGTGGAAACTGCAGCAGACTTTATTTATACACAGAGAATATGAAAAAATACCTCCTCCCACCCCACTGTCCTGCTGGTAATAGCTTATCTAAAGTGATCATCAGGTGGGCCATTTCCAGCACAAATCCAGGTTTTCTCACCCTCCACCCCCCCACACAAATTCACTCTCCTGCTGGTGATAGCCCATCCAAAGTGACAACTCTTTACACAATGTGCATGATAATAAAGTTGGGCCATTTCCTGCACAAATCCAGGTTCTCTCACCCCCTCACCCCCCTCCCAAAAACCACACACACAAACGCACTATCCTGCTGGTAATAGCTCATCCAAACTGACCACTCTCCAAGTTTAAATCCAAGTTAAACCAGAACATCTGGGAGGGGGGGTGTAGGAAAAAACAAGAGGAAATAGGCTGCTTTGCATAATGACTTAGCCACTCCCAGTCTCTATTTAAGCCTAAATTAATAGTATCCAATTTGCAAATGAATTCCAATTCAGCAGTTTCTCGCTGGAGTCTGGATTTGAAGTTTTTTTGTTTTAAGATAGCGACCTTCATGTCTGTGATTGCGTGACCAAAGAGATTGAAGTGTTCTCCGACTGGTTTATGAATGTTATAATTCTTGACATCTGATTTGTGTCCATTTATTCTTTTACGTAGAGACTGTCCAGTTTGACCAATGTACATGGCAGAGGGGCATTGCTGGCACATGATGGCATATATCACATTGGTGGATGTGCAGGTATACGAGCCTCTGATAGTGTGGCTGATGTTATTAGGCCCTGTGATGGTGTCCCCTGAATAGATATGTGGGCACAATTGGCAACGGGCTTTGTTGCAAGGATAAGTTCCTGGGTTAGTGGTTCTGTAGTGTGGTATGTGGTTGTTGGTGAGTATTTGGTTTCAGAGAGCTATTCAGGATAACTCCAAGAGCTGTTTCTTGAGTGGTAACAGCTAAGTTAAAAGACCACTCATCCACTTTTGTGAGATCCCTTTGTACTCCTTCGCAGTCTTCTTCAGACTTAACAACCTTCAGTAATTTTGTATCATCTGCAAACTTTGCCACCTCTCTGTTTACCCCTTTTTCCAGATCATTTATGAATATGTTGAACAGCCCTGGTCCCAGTACAGATCCTTTGGGGACCCTGCTGTTTACCACCTTGCACTGTGAAAATTGACCAGTTTTTCCTACCTTTTGTTTCCTATCTTTTATCCAGTTGCTGATCCATGAGAGGACTTTCTCTCTCTTGTCCCATTGCATCTTACTTTGCTTAAGAGCCTTTGGTGATGGGCCTTGTCAAAGGCTTTCTGAAAAATCTAAGCACACTATATCCACTGGATCGCACTTGTCTACATGTTTGTTGCTACCCTCAAAGAATTCTAGTAGATTAGTGAGGCATGATTTCCCTTTACAAAAACCATGTTGACTCTCCCCCAACATAGTGTATTCATCGAAGGGTGTCTGATAATTCTGTTCTTTACTATGGTTTCAACCAATTTGCCTGGCATTGAAGTTAGGCTTACTAGCCTGTACCTGCCAGGGTCACCTCTGGAGCCTTTTTTTAAAAATTGGTGTCATATTAGCTATCCTCCAGTCACCTGGTATAGAAGCTGATTTAAGTGATAGGTTGCATACTACAGTTAACAGCTCTGCAATTTCATATCTGAGTTCCTTCAGAGCTCTTGGGTGAATTCTATCTGATCCTGGTGGCTTATTACTTGTTTAATGCATCCATTTGTTCCAAAACCTCCTCTATTGACATGTCACTCTAGGACAGTTCCTCAGACTGTCACCCAAAAAGAATGGCTCAAGTGTGGGAATTTCCCTTATATCCTCTGCAGTGAAGACTGATGGAAAAAATTCATTTAGCATTGCTGCAACTGCCTTGTCTTCCTTGCGTACTCCTTTAGCAGCTCATTTGGCCAGGGTCTCCTCTGACTGTTTGGCTGGCTTCCTGCTGCTGATGTGCTTAACGTTGTTGTTTTTTTTTTTTTTGCTGTTCTGTAAGCAGAGTCAGGATGAGCTCCACCCTGACATCTGGTGGTGAGTTGTGGCAAGTTGTGGAAAAGAACTTTGGGGGCTGATCTCATTTGCATAGGCACACCCACCCCGCCTAGTATGAGCCCATAGCTGCCCAAATGGTCACTTTGGCTGCTGTGGGATCCCCAGTTTCTCTGTTATTGGGAAAGGCAAAATAAATTGTTATTATCCTGATTATGTGAATCAAGGACAGTGGAACTGTACTTGGCCTTTTGTTATGATGGAGGGACGCACCATCATCTTAGTAGCAGTCGCTAGACAAGGGACATGAGTTCCACATGGGGGTAGGT